GGGCTATGGACCCGCTGATCGCCTATATGTGAAACACCCGGTACCGGGTGTTCGCATTGGACGGGTCTTTTCTGCCCGTGCGTGCCCGCTAGGGGGCGCGCGCGAGCAGAAAAAAAATGCCGTCTGGCGACGGCAACCCGCGAATGCGACAGTGCCGTCCGTCCGTTTTTCTACTACGGGCGGACGGCAACTGGTTAAAATAGAAAAAGAGATTGAGGATACAGAGTCCTCAATCTCTTATTCGGCAGCCCCTGTTATAAATGAACAGGAAGCCTCTATACTGAGTGTTCCTGTCCATTCATAACTTGAGGACATAGTATGTTTACTATATCCACAATCATGAATGAACAGGAGGTGATGTAGATCACTTCCCATTCATTCATAATTGAGGTTTTATTAACCATACTATGTCCTCAATTATTTACAAACACTCAGCGATCACTGAGTGCTTGTACCTCGCTCTCCATCCTGACAGCTGTCACAGGAGGCTGAGCGAGAGATGTGGGAGGAGCTCAATCTGACAGCTGACTCGTCCCCCGCACCGCCGGCCGGCCTGTGACAGCGCGAGCTGTCTCGGCCCCCACACCGCTCTCCTCTGATATGTGACAGGAGGCTGAGTGGTGTGGGAGGAAAGACGCTGGCCGCTCACAGCGCTCTCCTCCCACAGCGCTGGACTGCCTGTGGCAGTTTCTCTCCTCCCCACTGGGACACAGAGCAGCGCCCAGCAGGGAGGAGAGAAAGCAGGGATGAGCCGCTATGTTTAGGACATTGTGTGTTTACTATAACTACAATTATGAATGAACAGGAGGGGATGTAGATCACTCCCATTCATTCATAATTGAGGATATATTAACCATACCATGTCCTCAATTATCTACAAACACTCAGCGATCAGTGAGCACTGAGTGTTTGCACTTGCTCTCCTCTCTGACACGCTGTCACAGGAGGCTGAGCGAGCGGTGCAGGGAGGAGAGCTCAGCCTCCTGTGACATCGCGGGCTGTCTCCGCCCACATACCGCTCTGCCCGACTGTAATAGGAGGCTGAGCGGTGTGGGAGGAGACGTCGGCCGCTCACAGCGCTTCCCGCAGCGCTTGGCCGGCTGTCACACTTTCTCTCCTCCCCGCTGGGACACAGAGCAGGGCCCAGCGGGGAGGAAAGAAAGCACGGATGCGCCGATGTATAGGCAGGAAAATGACACTTTCGGCATTTAGCCAAAAGTGCCATTTTCGCCCGATATGTTTCGGTGGCCGATATATCGGTGCATTCCTAATATATAAAATCATCATTGGTGCAATCTTCTTTTGGAAGAATGAGTAGAATGAGATATTATCTGTAGTCGTTGCCCAGGTCCCTTGATTTTATAACTTACATTTGAACATATTGCATACCTTGTTTGAGGGACATCAATATTTGACGATACCACCTTGCGTTTCTGTTCCAGTAGACAGACGGATCTTGCACATTCGTGACTCACTTCCTGTTCAGGTTCAATTATTCTGCTAGAACTTCTCAGCATCATGTAGGAAGCATCGTTCAGTTCTTCAGTAATCTTGGGATCCATGGTACTGTGACCTCTTCTGATGTTCACTGGCTGCTCCTTTGCTTCCCAGTTCTTTTTATCACATGTTATCTATAAAAAAGGGAAACAGTATTTATGCGTTTAAAGGAAAGCCAAACTTTTAATGCTGAAAACAGCAATGCACATCTTCATTCTTACAATAATTCCTGTAAATCTAGACCTTGGTTATAATCTACACTAGTACATCGTGCAAAGAGCAGTTTGTGCAGTAACCCACAGTAATGAATTAGGGCCCTATGTATGATCATGTTAGATACTAGTAAGTATCAGACCTGCCCTGAAACTAAAACTGGTGACTATGGAGACATTTCTCCAGTTGCTAGTATTTGAAACATGAGGCCTTCTAAAGGTGCACATACACCTTGCGATTATCGTACGATAATCGCGGGAAATCCAGCGACCGTACGATAATGCAAGTACGATCTGCCTGTCCAAGATGGGCAGATCGTACGAGCTTTTAATTAGCTTACAACCATCGCAAGACAAAAGACTGTATATATGATTTAACAAGTGTTGTGTTGGTGAGCAAAGCCTGCAAAACAGTTTGTCCAGGGCACAAATGAAAGGATCTAAGGGGATTTGAAGGCCAGTGAGAGCTTTCCAATGCATTTTATTTTTCCTTTTTGCAGCATAAGATGGTAATACACTACCAGACCCACCTGTGTTTTTTCTCCTCACCTCCTATTTGATGAGTGTCACACAGAAAAGAAAATAAGGGCTTGTTCACCACATCGTGCATTCATTAGATCACCCATTGTTTTTTTACCCAACATTTTAATTCTCAACACACAAATATAAAAAAAATAAAAACATTCTTAGTAGGAGGTGAAAGAATTCTGTAATCCTGTTTAAAATCCAAGTACCCTAAGGTAAAGTTATGCGTGCATTCAGTAGTAAGAGTAAGCAAACCATGATAACATAAGCTGTTTCTATTACACAGCAACTACTTGCGCTTTACAGTCAATTGTTGCACTCTCAGCAGTGCCCATAGCCGCTCCCACAAAAGTGTGACATTACCAGGTTTATACCTAGTAGATCCCATCGCACTTCTGACCGGAACGTCGCTTAACAATGTGACACAACCATGGTCAATAAAGATGATTGACAAAAAATCAATTTGTAGTCGAGTGACTTTCTACCTGTTGTATTACCAGGTTTATCACACCTCTCCTGCACTCGGCATGTATTGTTGCATTCCATTCTGCACAGGAGAGAAGAACTCTCACATGTATTGCTTTCTGCAGCCTTGAAATCATCCCTTTGCAAAGTAGGGAATAAATTGGTAAATTTTCTAACAAACGTTCATACAAAAAAATCTTGTCGGAACGTTGGATCAGACATTTGACAAATGTCATTCGAAATTTTGTTTGATTTAACATTTGATTTTGGAATGGAGTTTTCCAATCAAAAACCATACAAAAACTAGAATTTCATTTGATTGAGAAAAGGTTTCCAACATGCTCCTTTGACTTTTTTCATCACCGTGGTTGAAATTGATCATCCATTTGACCCCATCAACTATTAGAAAGTGAAATGAATTTTCCAAAATGGATTTAGTTTGTAGGAAATTCTAACCGTGTATAACCTACTTTACCATCTAGATTTTCTCTAGGATACCTACTCTATCTGGCAGCACAAGTTTGTGTAAAATGTAGGGCTGGTAATGATTAAAATTTTCGTGTTCGATTAATCGAAAAAATTTTTAATCGATTAATTATAACGCACATACAGATCCAACTACATTGGCCTATACACATACAGCACAGCAATGAAGTAATAAAATGAACTAGGATCACACTAATCCAGCACGTTATTAATCTCACGTGCCCCACTCAATTTTGCCGCCGCTTGAGTGGGACAACTCAGAATAATAACGTGCTGGATTAGTGTGATCCTAGTTCATTTTATTACTTCATTGCTGTGCTGTATGTGTATAGGCCAATGCCTTGGCTGGCGCTCGTGCAGAAAGTTTCTTGGGCAAACTCACCGGCCCAAGTGGCTCCATCGGCTAACGGAGGGGGGGGGGGAGGAAGTCCGGTGACGTCACGGACAGCGACGTCACCGGACTCCTCCCCCTTTCTCTTCGTTAGCCGTTATGGACAGCGACGTCACCGGACTCCTCCCCCTTCCCTTCATTAGCCGACGGAGCCACTTGGGAAAGGGGGGAGGAGTCCGATCGCCGACGGGACTCCTGGAAGCCGGCGGAGAGGTGAGTATTTTCATTAGCGATCAAAATAATTTTAATCGATCAAAAAGTTTAACGATTAATTGAGAAATGAATCTTTAATTTCCACAGCCCTAGTAAAATGATTAAAGTTTGTCCCATTGTTGCATTATTGATCTCAAAAATTGAACTAAAAAATATGTTATGGTAAGTAACAGATTTAAGTGTTTTTGGTACTCAAAAGAAAACTAAAGCCACACTTTTTTCTTTGGCTATAGTTCTCTTTTGGGTCACAGGAGTACATGTATTTACTTAATGTACTCCTGTGACCCAAAGGCAGCATACTATTGGGCTACTGCCCGCTATATGCTGACAGCGCAGAGCCGCACCACAGCCGGGAAAGATCCCAACAATGTTGTCAGGATCCACCCCATTGCCTGATTGACAGCTGGCTCTGCCTCTCTAGAGCCAGCTGTGCCCGCCCCCTCCTCTGTCTGTCTTTCCAATGAGTACTGGAGGAACAAAGAGGGGAGAGAGGAGAGGGAATCCCTGCGCGAAGAAGTGACTGACAATCATCACTCTCTGCAGGGAGAAGCCATGGGCTGAGTGATCAGCCGTTTCTGATCACTCAGTTCTCAAGCTATAGAGGCGGAGTGACAGTTGCAGTGTCATACGCCGGTTAAAACGATAGGGAAGAGCATATTTTACTCTCCCAATTGATCCCCTTTAAGAGCTGTACATATACTACTCAAGTAAGGGAAGATAGGTCTCTGAATGGGGGTATTATATGGCACAAAATGCCCACCTATCACTAGCAGAAGAAATAGAAACATATGGAAAGTGAGCAATAACATGTAAACCCGGTTCCCCCTGGAACTGAAACTTTTATCTTTATCTAATACAACATTCAAGAGGGTTGGAAAAGACTATAGGTAAAACAGAAAATTAATTTGAAGGTTTTTTCATAACAAAGATACATTCTGAAAGCATACTAGAGAGATGAAATGTGGCAATTTATTGTTTAATATGTAAATTACAGAATGTAAGTTTCTTTGTTTGTAACTACAAGCTATTAATCCATGTCTGAACAGTACAGAACAATAAGGTGTGATAAGTGGTGGAGACTGCAGCTTGTACTGATTATCTTCCCTGTCTATTATAATTAATACAACGTACAAACTGTGAATTTACATTGAATAAAACATATTCCTGAATGTGACTTTTTTTTATTAAGTTAGCAAATGGCACATTGCTGATACCTCGCTGCTCATTAGTAATGATAACACCTTTGCTGTGATTCACTGCAATTATATGAGAAATACGATATTTTAAATCTATCACACGGTCTCTGCTTTGACTTTGTCACTATAGTGGATGATTTGCAACGTTACCATGGCTAGTTTTTTTTTCAGTCTCTGTTGATGCATATGAGCGTAACTACTCCATAATATTACAGTGCATTATGTGCACTGCAGGAGTTCATTAAAGACTATGGGGTCTATTCACTAAGCTGCCGTAGGCAGCCGAGTGAATGACCGACCTAAAGCGAAGTGACCCGAACGCTGTTCGGCTATTCACTTCAGGCTGGTACGGCTGATTTCAGCCGTTTATCGGCTGAAATCAGCCGTACATCGAGTGGCTTCGTGTCGGCCGAACATGCTCAGCATGTTTGGCTGACCCGAAGTGCAGAAGGAGTTCGACTCGGCCGATCCAACATCTGGATCGGCTAAGCCGGACCTCCGGCAGGCTACTCGCTGCTGTTCGGTATATTCTTATAGATGCCGAACAGCAGTGAGTGAATAGCCAAATGCCGCTGAGCGGCATTCGGCTCGGCTGTTCTACTAGGTCTAGGGTTGCCACCTTTTCTTCAAGCGAAACCCAAACACTCAATCGACGTGTGCACATTTTTGTTGGGAGAATGAGTGGTGGCTTATTCATATATAAAAATTGCCGCCCATTCATATGTAAATATCACAGTTGAGACTGTTAATTTTGGTTGCCCCTGTCTGCCTGACATCTTGCGTCCGGATTTCTGCTGCCATGAAACCCGGACACAGCATTCAAAACCCGAACTGTCCGGGTGAATCCTGGACAGGTGGCAACCCTAACTAGGTCCCTCTGTGGGACCGAGCAGAACAGAAAAATAGTTTAAAAAGTAGAAAAAAATAAATATAAAACTATTGTGCGGAGCTAGCAGTGACAGCTAGCTCCGCCCAACTGTTTTCTATTGGCCGGCGGTTCTGCTGCCGTCAACAAAAAGAAAAAAAATTTGCCATAGGAATGCATTGCTAGCTTCTTATTGGCTATTTCAATTTACAATAGCCAATAGCAAACTACCTATTGTACCCACCCCCTGCTGCTGTCAATCACTAGTGGGGACCTGGTGGGGAACTGCAGCAGAGGGTGGATACAATAGCTAGTTTGCTATTGGCTATTGCAAATTGAAATAGCCAATAGGAATCTAGCAATGCATTCCTTTGGTGACATTTTTTTTTTTTTCTATTCTGACGCCAGCCAACGGCTCCGTGTCAGAATAAAAAGAAAAAGCAGTGACTGGGAGAGTTAGGCTGTCTGGAGATCAGTGTCCCTGGTTAGCTGGTAACCAGAGATGCTGATCTCTCTGCAAGTGGCCGGAGCTAGCCATAAGATCACGGCTGGCTCCGCCTAGCTGTCAGAAGCGAGCTGCTCGGCATAGTTCAGGAGCTGTACGGCAGGGGCTGACTGGCAACTTTTAGCCCAGGGGGCAAGTACAACCTAGAGGCCCATGGTGCAGCAACTTGGCCTCGCTCCCGCTCTGCCTCTTCCCCCCGCCTTCTCCTTGCCCGTCTGCCACTTTTGCCATTCATGTAACGGTAGTGTGAATGGTCGGGTGATGTGAGGCATAGAT